AGTGTATTCTTCAACTTTCAGATCTAGCTTTTGAAATTCAAACGTCCAAAAATCCAAAAACAATAGAAAATTTAATAGAAAAACCAAAAAAAAGACAGTCACTGTTTCAATTAAATTTTCAGTTTAATTTCCAGCTTTCTTAGCTCCAAGTCTGGTATTTGAGGTTAAGTTCTGGTGGGTTTTAGGTCCAATTGAGCTAGTTTAGGGTTAAGTTCTGGCCTGTTGGAAGTTTTAAGTGTATTCAGGTCTATTTGCGAGTTTATTTGGCTTAATCTGACGCTGTTTTGCTTATCACTGGGCTTGGGATTATCATTTTTGATCTCACATTATCTTCCTGCTGCTGTGACCTGCTGTAATACTGCTAATTGCTCAATTATTAGCTGATCTCCTCTCCTTTTCACTTATATCTCAATTTCCAGGTATGTCACTAGACTCAAGTGACGTTGGATAATGAATCAGCATGTATGGAAGTTGGTTATTGAAGAACTGTTTGATTTGGCCTGGAATTTTCAATTTAGGAACTGTTTAAATAATTTTGTACGTGTAAATTGGAACTTATTGGACTGAAACTGTTTTGTAGTAATTGGACTGTTAAATTCCAGATCTGGATTCATTTTTTTTAGCTTTTATCTTCAGTAAATGCAGTTGAACTCTTGTGATAGTTGTAGCTTAGTATTGGAATATACAACTTCCTATATATTAAGTCTTGGCATAATAAATAGCTTTTAGCAATAGTTTCAAAATTTGTTCCTAGAGTCACGAGTTCCCTATGTGAATTTTGCTAGTGTGAATAACATACTGAATTGTTAGTGAATGATGTTAGCTCTTAATATTAGCTCTTAAAACACTTGACAAGCTTTTCAGTAGTTGTAAAACTGTCCGAATAATCCATCTTAGCAATTCGTTTATAGCCTATTAAATGAGACTAAGTAGCTGTTGAGTTTCAGTTAATGTATTCATTTGGAATATCAGTTAATGGTAAGGTCTTGACAATCAAGGGTTAATGAATTAGCTAATGTTTAGTCGCAAATCACGCCTGAAGAAATAAAAATGCAATACGTCTGTCTGGATTCATATAGAAGACCATTTAAAATAGTTGAGCTTATTCAAGATAGATCAAGTGAAGTTTATACTAATTTGGTTACTGATCATATTTACTGGCTCCAAATTAAAAGTGAGAGTGGGCCTTTGAATTTGTTCTGGGCCCAGGTAGTCCCGCCCTTTTTAAAAGGAAACATGAATTGCTTTGAAATACCTGCTAGCCATGTTTTGTTCTATTCATTAAGTTATTGGGCCTGATTGTGGGGAATTGACTTATAGACTTTTGGATATTTCAAATATGTTAATTAATTAGGATTTTTCTTGTATTGATAGAGACAACTAAATAGAAAAGCGCAGTCTACTTTAGATTTGCCTTTTAAATAATAAATGAGACGAGCCTCGCCAATTGAAATACAAATGTGGGGCCCTCAATAAATGTTATATATAAAATACTTAGAATTCGGGCGGACCGTTTAGCGAATTTCACGGTCTTCCCCAAAGATAATAAACGCGCAGTTGCTTTAGGCGCGTATTTTAATAATATTACCTTCCTAAATGTGGGTGCACATTTATGTGACCCAAATCCAAATCTTAACGAAGTTGAAATGTGTTGACAATCACGGGTGCACTGGTGCGACGTGGTTCGAGACGCGTTTTCACGACGTTGCAATTCTTATTAAAAATAACAATAAAAGCGGTTAAAATAAAAGGCACATAGGTTAGAATATGTTATAAAATCAGATAAAAGCAAATACAACAGTTGAGCGACCGTGCTAGAACCACGGAACCCGGGAATGCCTAATACCTTCTCCCGGGTTAACAGAATTCCTTACTCGGAGTTCTGGTTCGCGGATTGTTAACAGAGTCATAATTTCCTCGGATCGGAATTCAACCGGTGACTTGGGACACCATTAATCTCCCAAGTGGCGACTCTGAATGTTAATAATAAATCCCGTTCCGACTGTCCTTTAATTGGAGAAACTCCTTTACACCCTCACAGGTGTAGCGTAAAAAAGGAGGTGTGACAGGGATAAGTTTGTTTCTAAGGTTTTGATCGATAATGGTTCTGCACTCAATATATGTCCTTTCACTACCTCAAAGCCTTGGGAATTGACATTGGAAAAGTTCGTGAAAGTCATGTGAACGTTGGAGCTTTTGATGGAGCGCAAAGGAGCGCTATTGGTGAAATTGACTTAGCATAATAAATCGGGCCTGTGGAGTTTATCATTGAATTTCAAGTGTTAGACATATATGCTACTTATAATTTGTTGTTGGGAAGGCCGTGGATTCACATGGCTGGTGCAGTCCCTTCCACTTTACACCTGAACATGATGTTTGTGTGGAATCACCGGGAAGTTGTGATTCATGGAGAAGCAAGCGATCCCATTTACCCTAGGAATTCAATCCCTGTCATTGAAAGTGTGGAGAGGCTGGATGGAGCCACTTTCCGCATTGAAGAAATTATGATTGCTACTCGAGGCAAAGAGATAAAGTTGCCAAGTGTGTTCGTGATGGTGGCATCAGAAATGTTGAAGAATGGCTTCGATCCTGGTCGAGGACTTGGAGCAAGGTTGCATGGAATAGTGGAGCCAATTCAGTTACCAGGGCAGAACAACACCTTTGGCCTAGGGTACGAACCCACTCCAAAAGAAGTCTCGGAGGCTCGTCTCAAGAAGAAAAGTGACATTGTCCTGCCACAGCCTATCCCGCCGCTAAGCCAGTCATTCCCCAAGACAGTTACTATTCATGAGCTAGATGAAGATGCTGAAGACGACCTCGTTGAAGGAATCAGGAACCTATTCCTTGCCGATTGCTATGTGATTCTGAATGATTGCACTGAGACACCAACTATTTGGGATGCCGCACCTGGAGATGTTTGAACAATTGGACTTGTACCCCATCCCGGGTTCGCCGGGAGTCTTGGTAGATCGATTGTATTAGTACTTTTTAAACAACACGATTCAAAATTGAGGCCTGAATCGTGTCTATGATTTTTATGTTGTTTGCCTCGATCTTTTGGAAGCTTAAATGCAAAATCTAAATATGCTTTTTCGTTTTACATTTAAATTTTTTTGTCTTTATTAATTTTCTTTTCTTTTTTATTTTATTTTATTTTTCAGCAAACAAATTAATAAAAATGCCGACACTGTGAATGTGTCATGTAATGAAACAAATGAACAAAATAACAAGCAAGATCTTGAAGAATATGAAGAAGACGTGCCGCCTGCAGAATTAACTAAAGAATTTGAGCAGTTTGAGAACAAGTCAAAACCAAATTTGGATGAAACAGAGCTTATAAATTTGGGGAATTCAGAGTCTATAAAAGAAACAAGAATTAGTGTCCATTTGACGCCATCAGAAAAGGAGAAATATGTAGATCTTCTGAGAAAATACGTCGATGTGTTCGCTTGGTCGTATGACGACATGCCTGGTTTAAGCACCAATTTTGTTTTCCATAAGTTGCCAACGGATCCATCTTGTCCCCCGGTAAAGCAAAGAACAAGAAAATTCAAAACGGACTTAAGTTTGAAGATCAAGGAAGAAGTCTCCAAGCAATTTAAGGCAAATGTCATCCGAGTCACGAAGTACCCCACCTGATTGGCCAATATAGTACCAGTTCCAAAGAAGGACGGGAAGATCAGAATATGTGTGGATTATCGGGATCTCAACAAGGCTAGTCCAAAGGATGATTTCCCACTCCCGAATATTCACATACTCATTGATAATTGTGCAAAGCATGAGTTGCAGTCATTCGTTGATTGCTTTGCCGGTTACCACCAGATTTTGATGGATGAAGATGATGCTGAGAAGACAGCGTTTATCATACCTTGGGGGGTGTGTTGTTATCGGGTGATGCCATTTGGACTTAAGAATGCAGGTGCTACATACATGAGAGCTATGACAACTATTTTTCATGACATGATCCATAAAGAGATTGAGGTCTATGTGGACGATGTCATCATCAAGTCACGGAAGAGTTCAGATCACTTGGTAGACCTGAAGAAGTTCTTTGATAGGTTGCGGCGGTACAATCTGAAGCTGAATCCCGCAAAGTGTGCATTCGGAGTTCCAGCTGGAAAATTATTAGGTTTCATTGTCAGTAGAAGGGGCATAGAGCTGGATCCTTCAAAGATAAAGGCTATCCAAGACCTGCCACCTCCAAAGAATCGGAAGGATGTGATGAGCTTCCTTGGTCGCCTTAATTACATCAGTCGTTTCATAGCCCAATCAACAGTGATTTGTGAGCCAATATTCAAGATTCTGAGGAAAGATGCCACTACCAAATGGACAGAAGAATGTAAACGAGCTTTTGATAGGATCAAGGAATATTTATCTAACCCACCGGTGCTGGTACCTCCGGAACCTGGAAGGCCGTTATTGTTATACATGTCCGTATCAGATAATGCATTTGGATGTGTTTTGGGGAAACATGATGAAACTAGGAGGAAGGAGCAAGCCATATACTACTTGAGCAAGAAGTTCACACCATATGAAGCAAGATATACTTTGTTGGAACGCACCTGTTGTGCCTTAACTTGGGTTGCACAAAAGTTGAGGCATTACTTGTCAGCATACACCACTTATCTCATTTCCATGATGGACCCGCTTAGGTATATCTTTCAGAAACCTATGCCTACAGGGAAGCTGGCAAAGTGGCAAATTTTGCTAAGTGAGTTTGACATCGTGTATGTTACCAGAAGGCCATCAAAGGACAAGCTTTAGCTGACCACCTTGCAGAAAATCCTGTGGATGAAGAATACAAGCCACTTAGGACGTACTTCCCAGACGAAGAAGTATTGTTCGCTGGAGAAGATATTTCAGAAGCATATTCTGGTTGGAGAATGTTTTTTGATGGAGCCGCAAACTTCAAAAGAGTCGGAGTTGGAGCAGTACTAGTTTCAGAATCTGCACAACATTATCCAATCTCAGCGAAACTTTGATTTCCATGCACCAACAACATGGCGGAATATGAGGCTTGTATACTTGGGCTCAGAATGGCCGCTGATATGAACATCCAAGAGTTATTGGTTGTAGGTGATTCATACTTGCTGATTTATCAAGTACAAGGTGAGTGGAATACAAAGAACACAAAAATCCTACCGTACTTACATTGTGTGAAGGAGTTGTGCAAGAAGTTTATCAAGGTGGACTTCAAGCATGTTCCAAGAGTTCAAAATGAGTTCGTAGATGCTTTAGCAACTTTGTCTTCCATGATTCAACATCCAGACAAGAACTACATAGACCCCATCAAGGTGAATGTGCAAGATCAACCAGCTTATTGTTTCCATGTGGATGTAGAGCCAGACGGAGAACCATGGTATTATGACATTAATAAGTATCTCAAAACAAGGGATTACCCTGAAGGAGCAACCAGTACCCAGAAGAGAACACTTAGGAGATTGGCAAATCACTTTTTCCTAAACGGCAAAATCCTATATAGGAGGACCCCAGATTTAGGACTGTTGAGGTGTGTAGATGCCAGGGAAGCAACCAAGTTGATTGAAGAAATACATGCAGGAACATGTGGGCCTCACATGAATGGGTTTACTTTGGCAAACAAAATTCTGCAAGCAGGTCACTTTTGGATGACCATGGAAACAGATTGTATTCGTTTTGTACAGAAATGTCATCAGTTTCAGATCCACAGTGATTTGATTCGAGTCCCACCAAATGAACTCAATGTGACAAGTTCTCCTTGGCCGTTTGCAGCTTGGGGCATGGATGTCATCGGCCCTATTGAGTCGGCCGCCTCGAATGGGCATAGATTTATCTTGGTAGATATTGATTACTTTACAAAGTGGGTAGAAGCCTCTTCTTACAAGTCAGTTACAAAGAAGGTGGTAGCAGATTTTGTCCGCAATAACATTATTTGCCGGTTTGGAATTCCTGAGTCAATCATTACAGATAATGGAGCCAATCTCAATAGTGACTTGATGCGAGAAATATGTGATAAGTTCAAAATTACTCACCGAAATTCCACTCCTTATCGACCTCAGATGAATGGAGCCGTTGAAGCAGCCAACAAAAACATAAAGAAGATATTGCGGAAGATGATTGATAACTACAGGCATTGGCATGACAAGCTACCATTTGCTCTCCTTGGATATCGCACTACAGTCAAAACATCAACTGGGGCAACGCCTTATCTTCTGGTCTATGGAACTGAAGCTGTATTACCTGCGGAAGTTGAAATACCATCTTTGAGGGTCATCCAGGAAGCCGAGCTGAGCAATGCAGAATGGGTGAAGAATCAGTACGAGCAACTAATGCTTATTGACGAGAAGAGAATGAATGCAGTTTGCCATGGTCAACTCTATCAAAACAGGATGTCCAGGGCCTTCAACAAGAAAGTGAAACCACGACAGTTCAAACCGGGGCAATTGGTTTTGAAGCGCATATTTCTGCACCAAAATGAAGCTAAAGGAAAGTTTGCACCAAATTGGTAAGGTCCGTACATGGTGCATCGGGTATTGACTGGAGGAGCACTGATTTTAGCAGAAATGGATGGTGAAGTATGGCCCAGGCCCATCAACGCAGATGCAGTCAAGAGATACTACGTCTAGAGGCATATCTGGCAACCTCTTTCTTTTCTATGTAATGATTCTTAATGTAAATGAACTACGTTTGACCTGATTCCCGTTTAAGAGGGGATACGTAGGCAGCCCTGTGGGTTCGGTCTCATCATAATAAAAATTCAAAATTTCCCCCCAAATTGGAAACTGGGGCAGCTTTTGAAGGCGTCATCATGAGGAGGCATCAGTCATCGACAAAGGAGGGTCAAGCAAGATGAATGACGGGATTCCAGATGAGGACGTTAACTTTGTTTCACGAGCATGTCACAATGCAAAATTCGGCAACAACTTTATTTTATAAAATTTATGCATATTTTATTTATTAAAATAGGATTTTTCATTATAAAATTCTTAACTATTCGTACCCCAAGATTCAGTGTTGGGCGGAGGCTACAAGTCCAAACAAAGTGGGAAGCGCAAGACTATCAAAGGCCAGAGCATCAAAGTCAACACGAATCAACCTTCCCCCCCAAACTCACAAGTTTTTCTTTGAGTGCAGATTTTCAAGATAGAGGAAGCAGAAGAATCAATAACAAATATAAATACCAAGACCCTTCGTCGAACGGTTTGAATCTCTTTATAGTATTTTATAGAAAATTATACCTTTTGAATTTTGATTATCTTTAAAATCCAAGTTTGAGATTTTTTCTAATGATAATTTTGGAACTTTACAATATTTTTTTTAATACATTGTCATTACTTTTCAGCCTCTAATTTTTATAAATGCAAACTACATCGCATACAACTTTAAATATATTGCACATTGACTTTTAAATGCACTGCACCATTACTTTCAAATGCACCGCAAATGCACTTCACCATTGCTTTCAAATGCACCGCAAATGCACTGCACCATCGCTTTCAAATGCACCGCACAAATACTTTCAAATGCATTGCACCATCGTTTTCGAATGCACCATTGCTTGCAAAATGCATAATATAAATGCTTTCAAATGCACTGCACTTTTTCTTTCAAAGGCACTGCAAATGCACTGCACAAAGGCTTTAAAAAAGTACTATATCATTGCTTGCAAATGCACAATGCAAATGCTTTCAAATACACTGCACCATTACTTTTAAATGCACCATACAATTGCCTTGCAAATGCACCACAAATATTTTTATTACCTTGAATCATTTGGCTTAGAAAGCCTCATCAGTCATTTGGCTTAAATGCCTCATAGTCATCAATCATTAGCTTAAATGCCTCATTTTTATAGATCATACATAAGTCATCGCTGAAAGGTACCATTTACATGAATCATTGGCTCAAAGCCTCATTTCATTAGTCATGATCAAAGAATTATTTTTAACATACCTGGCTTATTTTATGATAAATTAACGGCTTAGAGGTGTCATTTTAATGAAATTATTGTTATGACTTATCGCATTTTTATATCTTGTTTACTAACAATTTTACCTAGCATGTTGAGTTTAGCAGGAAATTTAGCACAACGTGGAACTCTATCTAAGCAGCGAACTGGGGCAGTTTGCTGGGGAGGAAACCAGACTCGCCAGCAAAAGTCAAAGGTCTACTTTCGAATTCTGTTCGGCTTGACTACCAAAATCGTGGCCAAAATCCTTATTTCGAAACATTCTTTTTCAATCATGATTCCCAGTGTCTGACACCTTGTGTTTCCATAATTCGACACTGGAGCAGCATTTTAGGATCCATATCAATCGTTAAGTCCTACTTCATAGTACCATAAGTCTTGAATTACATATGACTTGATTCTCGTAGATCCCGAGGTGCGTGGGCGATTCTGAAATCAGAGTTCGATCATAGCTCTGTAAAGTTTCTTTCATTTCATAAGACATCAAAGTTTCATGTTATAATCCTTCCAATATTCTGATCCATATTTACAAATCGGGACAAAATTGGTCACTAAGTCAATTTCTTTGCCCGAAGACTCTTTCATCGTCCACGGTCAAAGAGGGGCAGCTGTTGAAAACCAATTTTGGCCCTCCTTTTTCATAAGCAATTTCTCTATACTTCCTAATTCTTAATAATTTACTAAATATATTTTACATATTTTTATCCAAAACATTGGTTATATTTTTTTCTATCCTCAAGATTTTTAAAATAAAATATAATTATTATCCTTAATATAATTTAGTATATTTATTATAATTATATCGTTATTATTATTTTAGTTACTTAGTCACTATCATATTATTATTTAACGCTAATGCATCGTAATAATTAATACAAATATTATTTGCCAATCTATATTTTATTTCTCTACTTCTTATTCTATATATAAATGCATACATACTAGATATTAATTTTTACAATAATATAATATATTTTATTCTAAATTATTAGAATTATAGAGGCATAGTAATATTTAAAGTGAAGAAGGATTTTTAATTGTAAATTAGATCATCTTGGTAAAGTTTAATGTTATTTAAAATGAGGCCAATTTTATAACACATTTTTCAGATTTTTAAACCCCATAAATCAACCAAAATAGGCCATATCCGCCAACCCATCTACCTAACTCTTTCATCTACACGGACTTCACATAAGCGCCACATAATCCTCCACATAGGCGCTAACGGTACAAATCCCATGACCAACACACTCCTAGCACATGCTCTCCTCATCCCTTCACACTTTGACCCCACACCTTGCCACATGGATTCATCAGATCTAGTCCATTTTAAATTAATGGTCAAGATCATTTATTCTATCTTCTAGAGAATTCCAAATAAATTCTTGCTTTATTTATTTTATTATACCTTATTTACTTATATCAAGATTAATCTCAGCCATTAGATGCATCTAATCCAATGGTTGGATTTATTTCTAAAATTAAAATTAATTTTGACTAGGGTTCATCTCTTTCCCTCTTTCAAAGAAAACCAGCGTTTCTTTTGTCTGCCATGGCAGAAAAGTTTTGGCTCCTTCTATTTTTTTGGCAAAATTTGACTCTCAAATCTTATAATCAGAAATTTGTATAGCTATTCTAAGGAATCATCTGCAAACTCAAGCACTTTGACTCAAAAATTCAAATTCGTTTGCTATTTACAATGAAGTTGACAAAGGTAAAAAGGGTTCTCTTTTTGTTTCCTCCAAGATTTCACAATTTTGGCAACCGAATCCCTGCTTCTCCTGCCCATATCGTCCTTTTTCTTTCTTCTACACGTCATTTCAAACGGTTCTTGATCCGTTTGAAACCCTAACCCTTCAAGAATCCCGCCCAAATTAACCCTAGAAAGGTGTAGTAATTCTTCTATAAATACAGAGGTTTTGGTAATAATTGAGGACAACTCTTGGAGCCATCTTCAAACAATTTTATTCTTCAAAAATACTCTAAAATTCTCAGTTGTGTCGCCTCTGTTACTTCTTGCTAAAACAGAGAAATTTTTCTTTGCAAAGTTCGCGGTTGTAAGCTCGAGTTCAAGTCCGAAGCCAGAATCTATAGATTTATTCGACGCGCCCAAGTTCGCTGCATCGCAAAAGGTCAGTGCTGAAATATTTCTTCTCGCTTTGTCTTTAAAGATTAAAATGGTTGTATGTTCTTTTGTATGAGTTTTAATGGCTGCTCGTTAAAATCGTGATTTTTAGCCAGCCTCTGTAGAAGCTATGAAGTTAATCAAAATAAGAGTTCAATAAAGCATGAATAGGTTTCTGGCAATTATCTTATTAGTAATTGATGAAATGGCTTTTTATTTTTAAGTATATTATAATTTCTTCTTTTCTTTTGTCAAAGTTATGGTGTTGCATTAGTCTAGCATGTATCAAATATTGCTCTTCACTCCATATATTAAAAGTTACCGTGTCTGCACTCTCATTTTTCATGCCTCAAAATATATCCCAAGTTTATGTTTTAGTATAAATGCCATAGAAAATATTTATTAGAAATTAACTATTTTGGGTGCTTAGATTGAATTTTTTTTTCATGTTTAGTAGTAACAAGTTTTAAAAGTAGTTTGCTTCACAGAGTTCGCGTCTAAAAATGATAAAATTTAAGACCTTTTGTATAGATACTACATGTATAGAAGCCACTGCCTTAAGATGAACTTTTGAAGAATACTCCATGTTTTGAAATATTTCTTCTTTTGTGAGTTAAGAACTATATTTATAGTCATAGATTTACACTATGTTTATGAAAAGAACTTAATAAACTAGCTTGACCATTTTAAACCGGTGAATATCTAAAGTAATTTTGCTAGATAGCTCTATACTTATATTTGCTTAAGTAGTTAAGTTTTTCTAGCTGAAAATAACATAGATTTATTATGAAGTTAGGACTAGTTAATGCTTAAACAGTGGATTGTAGACTGAAATTATACTCTCAGATGGTAGATGGTAGAAAAGATAATATTCAGGAAGACTAAAATATCATGTGCAAAGGACTAGAAGTTCATTGAGACCACCTGCCATTATTAAAAGTTCTTGTATGTGCGCTTAAGAGAAGGTTGTTCTTAACTAAGTGCAGAAATTTGACATTTATGAACCTTTCAAATGATTTCCCTTTTCTTACTGTTACTATCAAGTGTTCCATTAGAATACTTTAGTATTTGGTCCTAATGCTTGAAATAAAGTAAGAAAGCATGTGTTTCTGTGCGTTAGATGAAGTCATGGTATTATTTCTCTTAAGAAAAGTCTGCTGCTACTTCGTTATTCTTTTTTAGAAGGGCATGCTGCAAGGACTTTTATGACTTAATATGAAAGTTGAAAACCATGTTTTTCGGAGTGTGAAGGATTATGTTGACCATATTTATCTTTTCGACCTTTTAGATTTCATATGAATATGAAAAGTTAGTATTCAGGCTTGGATAAAGACCATAAATCTATTGGCATAAGCTTGTTATTTAGTTCATAATCTTGCTGTAAATTTTTGTCCAAGTCTATTTCTAACTTCCCTCTTTCTAATTTATTGCTTTTCTCTTTTGTTGTTTGGCATATGTACTTGGAGCAATATGACTTTTAATGCAAGACTCGCCCCGCCCCAGCATGGAATCATTACTATTGAGCCATAGACTATGATGGACATCTAGAAGAAGAACAAGCGAAAAGCTTGGGGTCGCCTATGGCGGCCTTCGTTATTTACATTTACTCTGTTTCGAATTTTTAATCAATTTGGTTATATTCTTTTGATTAGTTTAGTTCTACACTTAACTTGAGTTTGTTAATTTAGTTTTGATTTCTTTACTTAGTATTCTCACTTAGTTATGAGCAGATATCATCTATTTTATATAGTAATTCTTTCAAGATTTTTTTTGGAAGAACCATTTAGATTTCAGGTTTCTATTATATAAGTTTGGAATTGAATCAAATCTTCTTGAAAAAAAAAGAGAAAAAAAGGTGGGGGTGTGCTTCAGCTGAAATTGAAGAATTGTTTCTTATAACATCATGGAAAACGTGAATTTATCTTCTAAAAAAAAAATCTTCCTTAGAAGGATTGTATCCTATATATATATATATAAGCTTTGTTTATGTAATAATGTTCCTCAAAGGTTTATTAAAGTCTTTCAAAGTTAAACTATTCTATTCTAAGTTATATTTTGTCAAAATACCTCAAACGATATTTTTTGATATTTTTATACAATTCTTATTAACCTAAGCTTGGTCGGTTAACCGTTATTAACGGATTTTTAAAAGTGCTTTAAAAACCTTCCTTTTTAAAATATTTAAAACCCTTACTTAGAATCTTTAGGTGAAGACCATAAGACAGAGTTTGACATAAGCTTTAAAATAGGTGTCCTAATTCACCTTAAAATTTATTAGGTGGTGACTCTCTTAAAATTAACTAAACCTCAAAATCGCTAATATGTTATACTCTAATTTGACCCGGTTTAAATGGGGTATAACAGTGATTACACCTAGCATTTGTGAGGTAAGTTATTTCTAATTAATGTGAGTTTAATACTTGAGTTTTGGGTAGATTAACACATAAAAATTTGTGAAAATCATGGGAATAGAGTAAAACCTAGGGTATTGTTAAAAACAAGGTTCAACCACGAAATTTGTTGTAGAATGAAGTAGAAATCGTATATTCTTGATCCTTAGGTTATAAAGAACAACTTCCTTCGAAAAATTTAGGAATTCGGGCACGTGGGCCCGGGGTTAGATCTTAGGAAAATTGTGTTTAAGGGTGGGAAATTGCTTAAATAGTTGGAATATGATCTTGTATGCTTATATTGACTAGTTCCTACCTCGTTTATCTAGTTTTGAATCGTTCGGCTCCAATTTTAGGGTTCGGGCTCATTCTTGGTATTGGAAGTGCACATTAGAGCGAGGTGAGTCTCCTTTCTAACCTTGTAAGAGGGAATTGTCCCCATAGGTAAAATAATTGATTATGTGCTCCTATTGTGGGGGCTACGTACGCACAAGGTGACGAGAGTCCGTGCGTAGCTAATAATATGTGTAAGTCCGGGTAGTCTAGGACCCAAAAGCATGCTATACTTGGGATATCTGTAATCTTATTGATAGTTAAATTTCTTAAATCCTATCGAATTGGTAAATGAATTTCTAAGGGAATTGAACTTCATTTCTTAAATCGTTAAAAGAGAATTGGCTTTTATTTTGAGAAATGATCCCCGATAAATTCTTAATTTGCTGTTTGAGCATGTATTTCTACATGTACCTGCGTCGCATGTATGATTCGCGAGCAGGGTGATTGTTTATTGAAATTTGACCGCGTCCCATGTATGATTCGCGAGCGGGGTAATAGATGCATCTATGGTTCGCGTCGTTCGACCCTCGGCAGTGCACATTTTACATTTATGTTGGATCGGACCGTACGACCTCGGCATGAGTTGCGCATGCTTGTATTGCTTGCCTTGAGAATTTTTGATATTGATATCTGCTCTCCCCGACTTGAGATAATTGTTAATTAGTGGATTATGAATCCGGAGACTTTTAATAGAAAGGAACTATTACCTGTTTCGTGACTCATTTGAATTTATTGTCGTTCTTAATAAATCTGTGATTCATCGCATTGACAATATTATTATTTGACCATTAGTAAGTGTCGAAGTTGCCATGTCGTCTCTACTTCTTCGAGATTAGGCGGGATATTTACTGAGTACACGTTGTTTTCGTACTCATGCTACACTTGCTGTGCATTTTGTTGCACTGGTGCAGGTACTTCTAGTGGCCTACTGGGCGTTGCAGTATGGGTGACACGGAGACTAGGTGAGCTGTATTTCCTCGAGTCGACCCGCAGCTAGTATAGTCTCTCTCAGAATTTTATTTACTTTCTGTCCAATTTGTGTTCCGGACAGCTGTTGTACTTTATTCGATTTCTTAAAAATTGCTCGTGCACTTGTGACACCGGGTTCTGGGATGGTTATAAAGTATTTTGTATCAACTGCTTATTATTTAATTTGATTTGAGACGATTATCTTTTTAATTGATAAATTTGAAGGAAAATCATTGATTTCAAGAGTATTAAAACGAGAATTTAATTAGGTATTTTTGTTGGCTTGCCTGACAGTGGAGACCGGCGCCATCACGACCTTAGTGGATTTTTGGGTCGTGACATTGGAGTTGTGTTCGAACATAAATACTACTTGGAGTTGTTTTTGAATTTTATGAATGACTTAGAGTGAAAATTATGAAAAATAGCTTTTTGAAATTTTTCAGAATTAAACTTCAAGTTGGATTTAAAATTTTATGCCAAAAATTAATTTTGGAAAAAGTAAAAAAAAAAATTATAGCCAAACGAGCCCTTAAACTAGCAGAAGGTTGGCCTACTAGTGTACATAGGAGCGAATAGGGATAAAGCTCCTTAACGAACAAAATTTCATTATCATCTTTCAATTTCGACGTCTTTAATTAAGGGTGAAGAGATTTCTATCATCCCCGAACATCCCTTGGTAGGGAATAATGATGATGGATATTGTGATAATGGTTAAAGTGATGATGATAACTAATGCATGTGATTATGACTAAGCAAGAATTAACATCATATTCTGGTGTAGTTTAATCTTTTAAACACACTTACGATCATCATTGCTTAATGTTCCTTGCTCCAGCAACTGCAGTTTGCAACATCGCTGTCTTTGCTTTGCTTTGTACTTTACAGCTTTGTACTTTACATATTATGTTAAGCATCATTGGTCACTCCATATGATACATTATAAATATAATTTCGCTAATTTAATTTGTGATTCTTATTCTACCAGGCTCTTAGACCCTCTACGGACACGTTCTTATGAATTTAACAAAATATTTAACTTAAAATAAAGGGAAAATACATAAATAAGTAGCAGTTTTATTACAAATGATTAACAGTCACATGACGTAATGATTCAGCTGGACATTGGGAATTGGCATCATTCAGAATCAAGCATCTAAAGTCTGAGAGGGCTGAAAGTTATTTATATTTCTAAATTTTGTATTAAAAATTAAACTGCTATTTCAACTTTAAATGATTGGCATTTCTCACGGAAACAAATTTGCATTCTCCTCCTTCTATCTCAATCAACTTTTGAAATGTTTATTTTACCGTCTAGATTATGAATAATTATGTTTTTCTTTCTTAACTCTTTCCAATTCCATGATAGTTTTTAATTTTTTAAATTTACCTTATAGACTTCTCTATGACACAAATAAATTTTATTTTATAAAAGAGAAAAAAGTGAAGAAAAAAAAGAAGAAGAATCAAGCATATAATTTAATAACATTTAATGATGAAGAAATTAGCAGAATAAGAAATAAATTAACATAATGTACTTGTATCAATAATTTTATTAGTAACAAACTAAACTCACAAATCTATTTATACAATTGAGAGTAGAAGATATTGAATACTGCACAATCATATATGTAATGCATATAGTATAAAGAATCATTATATATATATATATATATATATATATATATATATATATATTTTTCTTTCTTCTACACGTCATTTCAAACGGTTCTTGATCCGTTTGAAACCCTAACCCTTCAAGAATCCCGCCCAAATTAACCCTAGAAAGGCCTAGTAATTCTTCTATAAATACAGAGTTTTTGGTAATAATTGAGGACAACTCTTGGAGCCATCTTCAAACAATTTTATTCTTCAAAAATACTCTAAAATTCTCNTATATATATATACTAGGGAGAAGAAGAGATAAAGTGGAACTTAAGGATATACTTAAGTTAAATCATCTAGGTAAAAGAAAGAAAATAATCAAATATAATAAAAAAAATTACATAGAGAGGGGATTGAAATTGTCTAGGGCGAAACGTCAATTGCTCAAATTTGAAAGGAGAATTTAATATTAAAAATAATGTTTGGAATGTAATCGAATTTCACTCCGCTGCAAAGATACAATTTAATCCACCTTAATAAATTCCTTTCTGAAAGCAAATAAAATTGCTCCATGCATCTTCAAAGGAAAAAAAGTCAAACCACAAACAATAGGTGCAAATTTTTTTTTCCTCAAAGGAGAATGGTCAACATTGCCAGTTTCAAACTGAAAGAGAACTCATTTTCTCGAAATAGACGCATGGCCACAAGTTGGTTATGTTAGAAATTTACCGTCTCTTCTAGAAACTTTTAGTGTGGCCCACATATAAGGTAATAAATTATTTATCTTGTCTTCCAAAGAAAATAATATATCAGATAATATTGAGCAGTTATGCATATATGGTAATTTCTTTGATGGAAAGAAATTACCATATATTAGGAGTCCCTAGGGTATTTATAATTTATGGAGAAGTCCCTAGGGCTAAAGTATTTGCCTAAAGTCCCAGCCTACCTATAAATAAGCATGTGACTCCATCAGTCTGGCATCCTACGATAGGCACAGGCTAGAAGGCTCCTAAGTTTTCTGTCAAGATTCTTCCAAGGCGACTCTACGATACTTGAACAACTACGGCTGAAGGTATGTTCCTTGGTTAATTTTCGCTACATCGGCTCTGCGTATGTATTAAATTTCAACATGTGGTATTAGAGCCGCCCTTTAGCTGTGTGGTTCAGTGTCTAATAGTTGTTATGCTAATTAGAACTTTTGAAATCAATCATCGAATTTTATTTCAATTGGAAGTTTTAAGCACTACCAATTATAAGATTAGTGTTTAATTACCTTACGTATTCTGTGATTGAAGTTCATGTTCTCATCGAATTTGTTAGTCAAGGCATTTTGATTTAATTTATCAACATGTCTATTTAGTTGAAGTTTTCACACAATTACATTCTTTGTGGCGTAAAATTCTTGTTAAAGTTTATGAACCAAGATTTTTGTAGTGTTTGTCTTGAAGACAAGTGGTAAAACAGTAGTCTTATGTGAAACTTCTAGATCTGTTATGTTTTGATCCATATAAAGTAATTGGATTCACGCCTAGTCTGGCAAAGCTTGTATTGCACTGTTTAAAATATAGAGATGCTGCTTTGCTTTGATTTTTTTGTTTATTTTTTGTGTTATCTTGTTCTTTAAAGCCTTGCAGTAATCTTGTAAGCTAGATTGAAATAATTGCTTCAAAGGATAAAAGACAATAGACTAATTTTAAGTTTCTGTTACCCGGAACATGTCCGGTATATGTATAAGTTTTAAAAAATTTATTTTGAAGTTGAGACGACCTACAAAGGTGTCCTTTAGTTTTTGGCGGCAGATTAATATGCTTGCATGTATTGTTTATTTTATTTACGGAAAAGGGTCAAAACTATCCCTATCGTTTGATAAATGGTTTATAAATATTCTCCGTCCATCTATCCGTTCAAAAATATAACTCTGTCCATCTATCCGTTCAAAAAAACACACGAAGTTAATTCTATTAATAAAAATACCCCCGCGACTAACGGCAGAACTAATGGAGTATTTTTTTTTTGAACGAATAGATGGACGGAGGGTATTTATAAACCATTTAGTAAACGATAGGGATTTTTAATTGGGCAACGTGACAATCTTTGACTGGAACAAAAAATGGATATTATTTCAAACCATTTACCTTATCCGACCCATTTACAAAAATGGGTAGTATCTATCACACCCATTCCCACTCATCTGATCTTCCCCTTTCTTCTTCTCCACACAATAACAAATTAATTAAAGAATAGATAAAACCCAAAATAAAATAACCCAAAATTCAAACCAGATTCTGAAATTTCTCCAATCAAACTCAGGATAAGTATTGAAACTCTTAAATGGAAAATCAACAGATACATTTGGGTTGTTAAGTAAGAAGACAAGGATCAAAACAAACCAAAAATCTGAAACAAAAAAATTGAGCCCAAATGCTAAAATTGTCCAAATTTATCAATCAAATCTAGGAGAAATATTGAAACTTTGAAAGGGACAAGTAATGAAAATCTTTGGATTGTTCATAAGAAGACAAAAGAGCCACGAAATAATAGAGAAAAAACAACTACATATAACTGATACAAGCACACAAGAAAATTAAAACCAAGGTACTAAAAAGCTTGAAATTATCACATTCTAGGATAAAGATTGAATCTATAAAAGGTAAAAAAAAAAAAAAAAAAAAGTAAAGGGTTACCTTTGGGATGTTCATAAGAAGAAAAAGAGGAGGACAAAGAGCCATGAGTTGCAGATGAAGTGAAAGCCAAAGCCATATTTTCAAACACAAAGAAAGATTTGTTTCAACAAAGAAACGCTAAAAATACTTTGTGAGATGAGAGTGCGTGTGCTGGGTGATAAGGAAAAAGAGAGGAAAAAAAAGCAAAGAAAAAAAAAGAAAATAATTAGGCGGGTCAAATAAATAGGGCCGGACCAGGTAAATAAGTAAAACTAAGACCCATATTTGATTCTTGGTCAATAATCCCTATCGTTTGCTCAATGGTTTATAAATACCCTCCGTCCATCTATCCGTTCAAAAAAACACACTCCATCAGTTCTGCCATTAGTCGCGGGGGTATTTTTGTTAATAGAATTAACTTTGTGTGTTTTTTTGAACGGATAGATGGAGGGAGTGTATTTTTTTAAACGGATAGATGGACGGAGGGTATTTATAAACCATTTAGCAAACGATAGGGATACTTTTGGCCCTTTTCCGTTTTATTTATTTTGAATGCCTTTGGCCATTTAAATAATAGCAAAGGTTTAAAAGGGATAAAGCCTACTGTTTGTGTGATTGAATAGAAAACAATACGATTAATTCTGTTTGCTTTGCCACTATATAAAGTAGTTAGTTCAGTTATAAGAATTAACCTTGGGTAATATGGCTTAAGCCTATATCAAGTATGCCCATTCAAAAGTTAATCAACATCTTGTTTAAGTTGATTAATTATGGTTAATTATTTGAGATGTCATTTCAGTTTTCTTTTATGTGATGTATTTAGGAGTGGCCACAGCATCTTGAGTACTTAATATAAAAGAAATTGAGTTATTTAATCACATCAAGTTTAGTGATTAAAAGTTATAATGACATCTATTTAGTCCAGTTATCTTATTAAAATGGTAACCCGGCCTACAAGGAGGTAACCATCTTGGTGAGATTAATTGAAATGAGATAGTAAACCTTTAAGTTAAAATTATATTATGCCCACAGGTACGGATAAATTTTTGATGTATTTTGGTTTACTACTCTAATAAAGTTAGTAAATTCTATGCATGGGTTGCAACCTCTGCCCACAGGAAGGTCTAGAATTTACTAAGAATCGGTATTTTACTCGATTCACTTTATGATGGATTGTCCTTTATAGCTTATGTATGTTTATCCTTATTTTGCAGTCTTTACATCTTTTCCTACCGCTATTTTTAATGAGAATGCTCGAATTCCAATGCTTTTTGGTGACAATTATGCTGAATGGAAGGAGAAAGTCATTCTCACTTTAAGGTACTCGGATTTGGATTTGGCACTCCGTGTGGAAGAACTACCTATTCCCACAGAATCAAGTACGCCAGTGGCTAAGGCTAATTATGAGCGGTGGGAGCGATCCAATCGCTTAAGTTTGATGCTCATAAAATCCCACATAAGCCAAAGCATTAGGAGTTCTATCCCTAACAGCGATAAGGTCAAAGCTTACTTGAAGGCATTGGCCAGCACCCTTATGAAGAGGCTTTCAGGTATGACTTTCGACAGAAGTCGTACAGTGCGTGAGCACATTATGGTGATGCGAGATATTGCTACTAAACTCAAGTCCCTTGAGGTTAATATGTCTGAACCATTTCTTGTGCATTTCATTCTCAACTCACTTCCTCTGGAATATCGTCCGTTCAAGATATCTTACAACACACATAAGAATAAATGGCCAATCAATGAACTCTTGACCATGTGTGTTCAAGAAGAAGAGAGGTTGAAGCATGAGACACCTAAAAGTGTTAATATGGTGACTCATGGTAAGAGAAATGCAAAGAAGGGAAAAGTGTTCTCATGAAGAAGAAAAGCACCTTTGATAAAGATGCTTGTCGTTTCTGTAAGAAGAAGGGATACTGGAAGAAGGATTGCCTGAAATACAAGAAATGGCTTAAGAAGAAAGGTAATTTTGCCTTTGTATGTTATGAATCTAATTTTACTGAAGTTTCTGATAATACGTGGTGGATTGATTCTGGTGCTACAATTCACATTTCCAAAATCATGCAGGCTTTCTAACTCAGAGGAAGCCGATAGGAAGTGAACAATATGTCTATTCTGACAATAGGACGTGTTCATGTGTGGAAGAAGTGGGGACTTATAGGCTCAGTTTGAAAGATGGTTTTCACTTAGATTTAGAAAATACTTTTTATGTTTCAGAATATTCTAGAAATTTAATTTCTCTTTCAAGACTATCGATTAGTGGATATGATTTGAATTTCATTATCCTTCTGTGAAACTTTTGAAAGATAATAAAGTTATTGGTTTTGGAAATTTAAACGGAAATTTATATAAACTTGAGCTAGACCCGACATTTGAATGCAATGTTTTAACCTTGCATGACAAAGAAATTGGCACTAAGCGATGTATTATCAATGAGAACTTATCAAGTCTTGGCACAAGAGATTGGGACACATCTCTATCGAAAGAGTCAAAAGGTTAGTTAATGATGGAGTCCTAAAAGCTCTTGATTTTTCTGACTTTGGCACTTGTGTGGACTACATAAAGGGTAAGCAGACCAACAAATCAATTAAAGGTTCCAAAAGGAGTTCTCAATTGCTTGAGATCATACATACAGACATCTGTGGACATTTTCCTACCCCTTGCTTGAATGGTAAGGGATATTTATCTCATTTATTGATGACCATTCAAGATATATGTATCTCTATTTTATGTTTAACAAATTAGAAACACTTGATGCTTTTAAAGTTTATAAAACAGAAGCAGTGAAACAAATTGGTGCTCAGATCAAAATTATAAGATCTGATAGGGATGGAGAATATTATGGTAGGTACACAAATAAGGGACAAGTTAAGGGTCCATTTACTGAGTTCCTTAAAAGTGAAGGTATAATTGCCCAATATACCATGCCAGGAACACCACAACAAAATGGTATGGCAGAAAGAAGGAACCAAACATTAATGGACATGGTAAGAAATATGATTAGCAGATCAAGTTTACCTTTATCCTTATGGAGTGAAGCCTTAAAAACCGCCGGGTATATTTTAAATAGGGTTCCATCCAAGGCTGTCTCCAAGACACCTTTCAAGTTATGGAAAGGATGGAAACCTAGTTTAAATCATTTACACATTTGGGGATGTCCAATTGAAGTGAGGGTTTATAACCCACAACTAAAGAAGTTGGATGAAAGAACAATAAGCGGTTATTTTATAGGCTATGCGGTTAACTCCAAGGGGTTTAGGTTTTATTGTCCTTCTAATTCTCCTACAATTGTTGAGGCTAAAAATGCTAAATTTCTTGAGGAACATGAAGAAAGTGGGAATGGTTTGACTCAAATGGTGGAATTGGAAGAAATAAGGGAACCACCTGTAGTACCTTTATATATTAGGAACTTAAATGTTGCTCAGAAAAATTCTCATGAATTATCTGAAAAAGAACAAGTTCAAGATCCACTACCACTTGAGGAGCCACATGAATATCAACCCGCTTTATCTGAACCCACTGAAGAAGTGTCTGAAACAGTGGGAGTAAGAAAATCCTCAAGAGTTCGAAAACCAACAATTTCTAGTGACTATGTTGTATATCTCCAAGAGTCTGGTTATGATATTGGACTAAAAGATGATCCATGCTCGTTTTCACAAGCCATGAGTGGAGAAAACTCCATACTTTGGTATGATGCTGTCACGACCCTAGTTCGCCCTCCGTGAACTGTCGTGACGGCACCTAGTCTCTACGACTAGGTAAGCCTAACAATTTGCGAAAAAAGGAACAAAATGCGGAAAACAAATAATAAAAAAACTGAGGAATAAACAAATATAGAAGTGTTTAAGATGCCGCTCGGCATGTACCAACACAAGATCTCAAAAACTGAACATTTTCCAAAATCCGGAATCCCATGAATCACAAGCTAAAAGATTACATAATAAGCTCTAACTCCAAAAATGTCTACCGACAAGGAAAAAAATACAGAAAGGGTTGTACTAGTACTGAGAATAGAAAGGGATTCTTCGGTCTGCGGACGTGGCAGATATACCTCGGAGTCTCTACAAAGCGCCTCGCCTCAAGGGTGATAAGACTGAGTGGAAGAACCTGGATCTGCACATGAAAAACATGCGCAGGAAGGGCATGAGTACACCACAGCGGTACTCAGTAAGTGCCAAGCCTAACCTCGGTCGGGTAGTGACGAGGAAAGCCAGGGCCCTACTGAGGTTAAATGAAATACAAGGTATAATAGTATAGAATAATACAGTATAATTAAGTGCAACAGTAAAAGGTAACACAGGACAAAAAGAACAACAACCGCTATATAGAGGCAAAATGATCATGGAAAGGAATACAGGTCAACACAGAGATAACAACCGGGGATCTCTCAGTATCCCGAGGATCTCTTAGTATCCTCAATATGTGTGCTGGGGATCTCTCAGTATCCCGAGTATCTCTTAGTATCCTCAATATATGCTGGGGATCTCTCGGTATCCCAAGGATCTCTTAGTATCCTCAATATACGTGCTGGGGATCTCTCGGTATCCCGCACTACCGTCAAAATCAGTATAGGTGCAGGGGATCTCCCGGAATACCAATCTGTAGTCCTAAATTAAACAAGCAGGGGGATCTCCCGGGATACCGTCCCGTAGTCCCAAAGTAAACACACAGCAGCAACACGAAGAATACTCAATTCAGTTCAAATTTCATACCAAGGTAAACACAGGTATTTCTAACCTAGCATGCCACTTATAATCCAAAGAAGGCAGTTTGAACAAATAAAAGCAATTAAGGCAATTAGACATGCTTCCCTAAGCTAACAGCAGGCTTACATTGCAAATAGTATAAGCAAGATAGTAAACACAATGAGAGTTACTTAATGAAAATAGGATTTTCAACAATTAGCACAAGTACACACTCGTCACCTCACGTAAAGGCATTTCAAGTATCAAAAATACCAAATCCTAAAGGGGAGTCCCCCCCCCCCCACAAGGTTAGGCAAGCCACTTACCTCAAACCGGCTCAAAATCAACTCGAAACCACGCTCTTGCCACGAGTACTCGACTCCAAATGGCCCAAATCTATTCAATGCAATTGCATAATATAAATAACACTTCAAGCAACTATTTCAACTAATAAATTCTAATCTAATACACGAAATTAGGTAAAATGACCAAAATGCCCTCCAAGCCCACGTCTCGGAATCAGGTAAAATTTACATTGTAAAAATCCTCATACTCTCACGAGTCTAACCATACCAAAAATTAACGAAATCCAACGTCAAATTCCCAATCAAAACTCAAAATTTAGGTCTAAGAACTTTCTCCAAATTTTTCCTCAATTTTCATTTCAAATCTGAAATTAAACGAATAAACTAACAATAGATTAATGGAATACAACTAGAAAGGGATAAGGAATTGTTACCCAATGATCTTCTCTTCAAAAACCACCCGAAATCGCCCTCTCCCGAGCTCCCAATCAATTTTTCTAACTTTTGAACTAAACCCTCGTTCTGCCCCTTTTTCTGACCAGGGATTTTGCACCTACGGTCCAATTTACGCATCTATGAGACCGCTTCTGCGGTCAAAGGACCGCTTATGCGATTTCCACTTAAATTCCCTTCACCGCACCTGCGACCCAGAATCCGCATCTGCGGTCCCGCAGGTGCGGTACACCTTCCGCTTCGGCGGTTTTAGCTCTTCTTTCCCTTGGCCGCTTCTGCGGCTTGATTCCGCATCTACGAGAGTCGCACCTGCGGCCTCTCAACCGCAAATGCGGTTATTACAGCAGTCCTAAACTTTAGCGGCAACTCCAATTTCCCAATCTTTCTGTCAACCATCCGAAATCACCTTGAGGCCCCCGAGACCTCAACCAAAAGAACAAACAAGTCTAATACCACTGAACAAACTTGTACAAATCTTCAAAATACCTCAAACAACATCAAATCAACCAATTAGCATCGAATTCAAGCCTAAGAACTTCAAAACTCTCAAAAATACGCTTTCGATCAAAAAGTCTATCAAACCTCGTCCTAATAACCTGAAATTTTGCACACACGTTACATTCAACACTATGGAGCTACTCCAACTTCCGGAATTCCATTCCGACCCCGATATCAAAATCTCACTATCGAACCGGAAACTTCAAAAATTCAACTTTCGGCATTTCAAGCCTAATTAAGCTACGGACCTCCAAAACACAATCCGAACACGCTCCTAAACCCGAAATCACCCAACGGAGCTAATGGAACCAACGGAATTCTATTCCGAGGCCGTCGTCACACTGTTCTGACTACGGTCCAAATTCTAGAACTTAAACTCTCATTTAGGGACTAAGTGTCCCAAAACTCTCCGAAACTCCAAATAAATCCTCCCGGCAACTCACAATAGCAGAAACAAACACGAGGAATGCAATTAATAGGGGATCGGGGCGTAAATTCTTAAAACGACCGGCCGGGTCGTTACAGATGCCATGAAAGAAGAGTTAGAATCTATGGGTAAAAATAAATTCTGGGATCTCGTTAAGTTACCAAAGGGAGCCTCTACTATAGGTTCCAAATGGGTCTTTAAAACTAAAAGAGACTCATCTGGTAATATTGAACGATATAAAGCCAGACTTGTAACCAAAGGTTTTACTCAAACGGAAGTCATTGACTACCATGAAACCTTCTCTCCTTGTAATGACCCAACCGGTCGTTTTGAGCTTTTGCACTTTGTTCGTCAGTTCTCAGTTTGGAGCTTGAAATTTGAAAGGTTCGAACAAGAGTTGACTTGTTGTATTTGATCTCGGATTAGAATTTTTATGGTTTGGTTAGCTCCGTTAGGTGATTTGGGACTTAGGAGCACGATCGGAATGCATTTT